TGGCCGCTCACGCTGGCTGCTGGCCGCTTACGCTGGCTGCTGGCTACACACAGTAGCCCATGGCAACCCACTGCCACAGGGGCTGCAGCCTCCGCCGTCGCCAGTGACTCACGGCAGCCCAGCTCCAGGTTGAGCTGTTGCTCAGCATCTTAGCTGTAGAGGGCAGTGTCACTGGCCCTCATATGTGGGATCCGAACCGGGGTCCTCTGGCGTCCCAAGCCAGTTCCTAACCATCGCGCCACTCGGCCGGCCCGAGGGTGCTTCTTAAACTGCAATTCCTAGATCTCAACCCAAACCTATGAACTGGAACTCAGGGCAACACTGAGTGCTGTTACTGTAAACCCGTGCTCTGTAAAAGCACAGTCCACTAGTAGTATCACACGAGTCACAAGTACAAGCCACATGCGTAATTTTAAGTTTTCTAGTGGCCACATTTCGAACTGTAAAAAGGTGAAATTAACTTCAATCACATCTTTAACCCAGGACATGCCAAATATTATTTCAACATTTAATCAGTATTTTTGAGATACTTTCCATTCTATTTTTCCTATTAAGTCTTCAAATCCCAGTGTGTATTTACTTACAGCACATCTCAATTCGGACCAGCCACATTTCAAGTGCTCTGATGGCCCCCCCAGGCTGTGGCTGCTGTAGAGGAGGCTTCGGTGCAGAGTTGTTACTTCTCAGGGGTTCAGTGTTTGTTTTGGTCCAGACGAGAAACGATGGAGGCATGACTCTTACTGTAGGCATAAAGTAACCCACATTCTAGGTTTAAGTTTGAGGTCTGGCCTGTCTTATTTTAAATAAATCAGCATCCTAGTTCTGTCCTGTAGTTTGTATGAGTTCATTGCCATTGCCCTGAGGTCAAGGGAGTTCTCAGCTCCTGGCAGGACTGGGAAGTTCGCTCTGGTCCCTCAGGGGCCTGGGTACTGAGGAAGGAAGCCCTTTGTTTTTGGGGTGGGTTGGGATTTCCATACTCCCCAGTCTGCCGGGTGGGGCAGGGCTGTAGATGTAATTGAGAATAATGATATTGCTCTGGGCAGTTTTTGTGTGTGTGTGAATTTATTGAGTTCATGGTGACATTTTAAATTCTCTTCACAATTTTTTTCCCTTTGCACTATTAATCAGCTTTAGAAAGAAAGATAAAAGCAGCAAAACAGTAACAAAATAGAGGACAAATAACTCTTCTCTATTTTTTTCAGCCAGAGGGAACGGGGAAAAATCTTTCCTGTTCTAACCTTCCTCAGCTGACGGTGGCTGCCTGGAAAGCTGACAGGATGGGTTAGGAGGGAGCTGCCCTCCCAACACACTATTCTTACTTCTGGTAGGAAATGGTGCCACTCTCAGATTCCTGTAGGAAATGCAACCAAATTTCCTGGTTGCAGCTAGGGCCCTGGAGAAACCCCCATTCCTCCGTTAGTGGGAGATGCTGGAAGGCTCTGCTGGTGTGTCCTTAAGGTAGAACGTTGAATGTTAGGACTTACGGGCCGGTTGTTCAGCTTCAATTAAAGAGATCTTTCCCCCTCCATCCTCACTCCCAAATGCAGGCCTGGAGTTTTGTGTTGCAACTCCTTTATTACTCAGTTTGGAAAGCCTGACACTTGCACTTATAGTGGCTGGAGGCAAAAATGTAAAAGGTTGGCTATTTGAGAAGCAAGGAAGGGAGAACCCGCGCTGAGCCATCCATCACCTGAGAGTCTTCCACCCCAGGCCAGCCTCCCACGCCCCTGCCCCTCCTGCTGGACGCATAAGCACTGAGACTTGATCTCACATACTTGACAAAAGCATAGTTATAAAAATTTTGAGCTATGCAAAAGTGAGTCAAGTAGAAAATGAAAGCCTTCCGTCATCCCCCTTCTGGGAGTTAACATTTGTTGAGTGGTGCTGAGCCTTCTGGTCTATTGATAATCAGATAGTCACACTCAGTTTTTTAGTTGTTTTTGCAAAAATGGCATCCAATAGAACTCACCTTTTTCACCTGCCAATATATGAGGTGCCCACCATGCCAGTGCATTTCTATCTGCATTTTCTTTTTTAAGTTGCAGAGGAG